TCTTTCTGAAATTCAAGCTGTTGTTTGAAGTTTAAAACCATTTATCTTCGTAACATGTGTGCTTTTGCCAGAATAAACACCAAATAAACATAAATACAGTAAGAAGTCTCAAGAATTTCTTATTTTGAAAAAGGTAGATGATATCTTCTGAGCTAGTTTGAAGTTTGGTTCCAGATTTACTCTCAGCACTCCAAAACATGAATTTGTTAAATTTCATCACTAGCACACTTGATTCAAGCACTGATCAGCCAAACCAGTTGTTAAAAGTTAAACAAACACATTGACATATGTAAAATAACAACTTTGTATTTATTGTAATATTAGTATTGTTTTTGAATAGTTTGCATAACTTAACATAAATGACATAAATCTGATACCCTTTGCATTGTGTTTCTTGCACTTTCATGATAAAAGAACCAATAGAAATAGTAATGATCTAAAATTACTTGGAATCTTATTACATTGACGTCAATTACAAGTTAAGAGGTTTTTTCCTTTTCCTGTAATGATGTGTTGCCACTTTGGAGATACGAGGTTCTGTTCCAACAATGACTCCTGTGAAAGAGTATAAAAGAGAAACTGAAAACCAAAAATAAACTTGAATAAAACTGGTATGCTGTGATATATTATTCAGGTTTTGGTTCCAAAAAAAGGTTCAGTTCATAAATCCTGTTGTACAAACACTATAGTCAAGCTATGCACTAGTCAAGACGATGATTCACAACCACTGTGCAGTAGTCTAAGCATTTCAAGGATTCACCCATTCAGTGTGCATATTTGAGCATATTGAAAACTATGACGCCAAGGACACGCCATATATTTTACCTGACTGTTCAACTTTTACCATTCACAGCAATATTATATATTGCATTGCCTTGATTCACAGTCCCATCTCTGGTTCAGGGGGTTTTGGATAGACAGACCTTGTAAAAAGCAAATTTGAAGCTAGTAATGCCGCAAACTACAGGGTACAACCTTTGGAAATAGACCTAATTCCTCTGGGCCCACTTAACTTCCAAGGTTCAGTATTCCAAGTGCTGGCAGCCGTGTACTCTGAGATGTTTGCCAGGTGTGGATAATAAAGCTGCTGGGCAGAGGGACCAGCAAAGAGTGAAGCAGCATCCCAGACCAGCCCCCCCAGCACCACCACCTCCACCCCAGCTTGCTTTCCTCACCCCACTTCCCCCTGACCTCTCCTTCTACCCCTGGAGGATCACTAACTCTGCTCAGGCCTGAGAAATCACAGGCCTCTCTCATTGTATTCAGCTGGGGAATTGAGTTCCCTGACCTCTCGGCTTCCAGACCAATCCTGGCTGAGGTCACCCAATGTGAACTGACGGCAGGAGGTGCAAGATCCAGTCAGTATTGATGACTTCAACTCAACAGAAGCCTCAACAGAAGATGTGGGTCAAGTAATGAATGGTATACAGGGGCTGCAGACCTTTGCAATATGGCAGTCATTACAAAGCCAATTAGGATGAATCTGTTTGAGGAAGGTTTCTGTCTATAATACACATTAACTGGAAGGCCACAGACACAGGTTCTGAACCTAAACTAATTAAGACTACCCCTCGAAGCAATATGATACACCCAGACAGAAAAGAATTGACCAGGCAAATGCATTAAGTTCACCAGGCTGAATGTCCAGCTGGCTACACTTTCAATCCATTTCTCCATAAGGCCGCTGATGGTTCATTGTATGAACAGTATGGCGCTTTTCATTCACATTTCAAAAGGGCTCATTAAAGGTATTAATTAAACATACACTTCATGGCTCCCCCCAAAAATAGGAGCATGCCTAATCATGAAAGATGCATGGCTAACATTTGCTGATGTTTCAACCACGCACTAGGCCTTACCTGCGCTCACGAAGAAGGCAATGGCCACTTTTGCAACAAAGAGGGAAAAAAGCTGGGCTGTGCCTGTTTCGTGACTGTCAAGGTGTGGAATGTCAAGGAGAGTGTCTTGAGGGTGATCGTTTTCAGTGGTGCTGTCATGTCAGTGTGTGGAGTGGGAGTGAGATTTCGCAGGGACACTGAAGGTGGCTGTGCGCTCTGGCTCTGCAGCTGGAGCATCAGACGGGGACGTGCTCTTTTGAACGTTCGGCAGGGTGAGTGGGTTCACCGTGCACAAGGTGCTCCATACTATCATGCGAATGACAGGTAGAGAGCGGCTGAGACAATGTAACAATGAGGAAATAGGTAAAAGTCTTCTTCTGGGATGACACCTAATCAAAAGCTCCATCACCCTGAGCCACAGGGTGACCATCGGGCAGCTGAAGGAAACCCTGCTCTTGCAGCTACTCTAGGCCTCATCCTTTGTATTTTTTTTTTCAATTTCCACACGGGCAGATACTGGGCTGTGGAAAGCCACAGTCATGTCATGTTTTTTGCAATGAAAACTGACTGCTGATGGCTTGATTGGACAGGACTCCCTGACAGCAGTGCAACAGTTCACCTCCGTATCACAGAGCAGTCAGTGGGGACGAGACAAGATCAACACATGGAATGAAATGCGGAAAAAGAGAACATAATGCCACTGGGTACAATCTTCAGAGCAATATTATACCTTTGTCCTCAGGAAAGAAAATATTTATGTGAAAGCACTAGTGGTTTAGGGGCCTAAAAGGCCATTTAGACTGTAATTGCTACTGCTACATCAGCTCTAGAGCATACTTATGGCCCCCTTAATCAACTATGTGTTTCACTCAACGAGATCTAAATGGTCTGAGCAGGAGCTACAGCAGCGCACTGGAGCCTTTGATTCCACCGATGATGTTGTGCACTAAAGTTTACTACCTTGAAGTTGGGCGTGGCAGATTTCGATTTCAGCACTTCCATTTACAGCTGCAAGTCACATTTAAAGTGTTACAGATATTATCTTCCTGTTTCGTTTTTCATAGGTCGTGTATATCCTCAATAAAGACAGCATGAAAGCACAAAACATAACTTTGTGTCGTACTCTATTGTGGTGATTGATTCTCAGTCTATCCACTCTTGAAAGTAGACCAAGGCCCTGTAGAGACAGGAAATGAAACTCTATCGCCACTCAGACAGTTTGACCACTTCACTTCTTCCTTCTTTCAGCCTCATCCAGTCTAACCCTAAACGCCGCAAGAGCTCCAGGGACAAGATGAAATATTTATGTTTGAATTGAAAGTGTTTCGCAGACAAAGGTAACTGTTAGGATTTCCTCAGCGGAACATCAATCATTGTGTTTAGCAGGAGATGGAAATATAACAGATCATGCGTTACTTAAGAAGAAGCTCACAGAGCCAATGTTCATAAATCCTAAAATCTCTCACTTATGACTAATACAATAGCAGTGCATTAATAACAAGCCGGTAAGGTTGAGAAATGCAGGGCGCTCTGTGAAAAAAAAGAGTGAAAAATTGAGTGAAGGAGAAAGGAGGAGTGAAACTGCATGCAGTTCTTCAGTAATATTATTACATGCCACATTAAATGTAATAAATAAACACATAATGCATTTGAGCCATATAAGCAACAAGGATGTGCAGTCTGTTCCAGTTTAATTACATTCTCAGTGCCTCGGTTATGGTGCCTCTTCCAAACTGACATTGAGTTGGGTTGCAGTTATCCAAGCAAATCAGAGAGCCACTTGTTTCACCAAGTGTGGAGAACATGGTGGGAACAGGCTGTTTGTTTACAAGACCTCAGTGTTGCAATATATTAGAGGTGGGCAAGATGACAGTATTCATCGTTGTGATCGTGTTTTTCTGAGCATGATGTAGATATGATGAGTGCTTAAACAATGCTGAAAAACTGCATGTTTCATTACAAAGAGAGCATAATTAGTTTAATTGGAATAAGTGCAGCACAGTATGTGAAACTATTGTACTCATAGTTTTTCCCTGATAGCAAGAGGATAGTGGGCCACTGTTGGCCCACTGATGGCAAAGCTGGTGGCCCACTGGCATTTTGCTCAGCGTTTTCTGGGCGGTCCACTGGTGTTAAAGCAGAGTAGTCCGCAAAATTCCACTTATCGTTGTTCACTTTCCACTCACAGTCCAATTTACTTATTTATCCGTCCTTCTTTTCTATAGTTATAGTTTGTAAATTAATTTAGTAAATAATTTAATCTAGCACAGTGTCAGCAACAACTATTTCTAGAAAATCATGTTATATTAGGCCAAGTCATTATTTTTTCTCTCTCAGTTGTTTGTAATATTTGTCTTTAAAATCTGTTTGAGGAGATTAAAAACTAGTTAGAGCTTGTATACAAGACAGTAATCTAGGTGGTCCAATGGTGGGCCAGAAGGGGCAAACAGTCAGCGAGGTCCCGAACTTATGAAGCCACCGGACTGATATACACTCGTTATCTGGGTTATATACATACATAATATATATATATATATATATATATATATATATATATATATATATATATATATATATGTATGTATATATATATATTATTTTTTCAGTGTGGCCCTACTGTCTGTTCCAACATATTAAATCTCTGAAAACGAAATATTGTGATTCATATTCAGTTGCTTTTACAAGTTTTTACAAGTTTTGTGATGAGGATTGATCATTTGGAATTACCTATCCTCTTCATGATATGATATTATCACAATATTGTATTAACAAAATAAAATCACTAATAAACAATACTTCGTCTGACAAACAGAATTTAAAATCGTCCACGATAAACAATATCATGTGTTGAATACCGCGGTATACCTTACTATTGAATACTGACACATGTCTATACGTATTATCGCCAATACACTCGCGTTATATTTAAATTTGTGCCTTAAAACTTGTAAAAATAAAATATTATATGTGATTTTCACACAGAAAATCATGATAATAAATAGACAAATATAAATAAAATACGTAGTCACGTCTCGGATGTAGAGGAATGCGTTGAATGGCGAAAGCAGCGGTCGAACTGTGGTGGGCAGCGCGCGGCGGGGGGGCGGGGCTTTATCTACAGTTTGGCGTTTGACCGTGGAAACGCCGCGCGCTCCGCTCTGCTCATCTTTGGTTGGTCCGGAGAGCCGCGCGCTGCTCAGCGTTTCGCTTTCGCGCTCCTGAACCGCCGTCGCTTGGAGACTGGAGGTCGCGGCGGGAACACTTCTCCTTTCAGCCGGCGTCAGCTGTCAGCTTCTCGGTTAAAAAGTTGCCCGTTTCCGTGCGCCGGCGTCTCTTTCACATGCGAGGATGTGGTTCCCCACATGAGGGTTTAGAGCCGCGCCATGGTGTTGACCCAGGGACTCCTCGTGGAAACGGTGAGTGATGAATTTCCTCAGTACTTCACACGCCTGGAGATTCCATTTATGTATGTGTTTATTTATTGTATTTCCTCACTACTTCTCGTTACACATAGAAGGGTATTTTATATCTGTGTTAAAGCAAGCCTGCACTGTCTTTTGAAATGACGCTCTGGCTTTTTTTCTTTTCTTTGGTAAGCCATTTGTATTGGAGCACACTAAAATCCCTGTGGCTTGCTGTTAAAAGCTACTGTTTTTGAAAGCACGAAAGGGTTTTTGCGTTAGTGACGGAGAAACAGCCCTCACCAAACGAGATATTTTCAGTCAGTCATTTGTTAATTCGTCCTTGTAAACTGCTTTAAAATAAATAGGCTAAGCTACGTCACTGTGGAGAGCTCAATAACTTACTAAAGCCTGGCGTGAATATGAAAAGACACTGGCTGTATGTTTTTATGCCTTTCCTATTTTGATAATTCTCAGACGTAATTTGTCTGGGCCATGCTGAAAATGAGGGTGGTGTGGGTCATAAAAGCAAAGGTCAACAGTCTTTATTTATATGTACTACTCACTAGTATAAGGCTATATTTTATATGCTTGGTTCTGAGAGCTTATAACGAGTACAGCTCTATTTAAGTTTTATATGTTTCCAAATTCACTTTTCCAACAGATGGTAAGGGAGCTTATGGTGCTTTTTAAAATTTTATCTTAATGTACAATATCTGGTGTCTATTTTAATTGTCAATTTATCGTGATATTTGACACATTCACACAGTATTATGTAATCTACAATAGTTTACCAGATAGTACAGTATGTCTCTTAGGGCTGTTTAAGGTAATGAACCTTGTTCAAAGGTTCAAGAGCCACGTAAACTGTCTCAGATAAAAATGAATGAGCGACTAAAGTGTGGTGGCTTTTGCTGAAGAGCTAAACAGTGATGGAATGAAGATGCCTCTGCCCAGATGTGTGGGGAATGATGTGTATTTTTCACTTTTGATTCCCTTTGTTTAAGGGAACCTAAAGATATTTTTGACATGAAGAGTTTTTCTGGCGTGCTGCTTTGAAATATCACTCAGTAAACAACGCAGAGTGATATAGCTGAACGATTTTCCAATAACACTTTTCAAAACGTCTCAATGATTTGTAGTTATTACAGTGTTCCACTGTGGCACAGCTACACAGCACAGCACTTTACCTTGATAGGAAAGCTGGTGTGTTTCTGAGTTGTGTGCAATTTGCCACTGTTTGGGTCTGACTTACAGAGCAAGAGCGGATTTTAATGCGGCACCTCACCTCTCACGGTCAGCACTTGAATATGAGGGCACGGGCCACTCGCCTGTGCTGAAATAGCAGAGCCAACAATGGGAAAAGTTCATCACAGCCACAGATGGCTGCCAGGTCAATTTGTGCTTATGCAATAGTGAGTGCAGTGGTCAATACTGTCATGCCAGGCATGGAAAGGATGTGTTTTGATGGATAGCACAGCATGGAGCTTTAGCCAGTGGATCGATACACAGACTCTCACTTCACATTAGGGCTGTGCATCAGGCCAACCCAAAAGCCAAAGGTGAAACCTGAGAGCCACCAGGATGCAAGTGTGCAGTTCTGCTACGAGTATCAGTACCTTAACATGTTTTGTACATCCTCTTCATCTGGGCCATTTGCTCTTTGCCGCTGCCTCAAGGCACATGTTGATTAAAGGCACTATAAAGAACTCTGGTGGGTATTGCTTGTAAGTTAGGCATGGCTGGCTCATTGTTCAGTAACATGTTGATCAGTAACATGTTGACCTGGCCACCCAAATCAAACAAAAATTTACCCAGTTCACAGGCTTCCTTAACATACAGTTCCCCATATTTTATTTGTAGTATTTTATAAATTCTTAGCTGACATTTCTGTTTATTGGAGTCCCTCTATCTCAAAATAGTGAGCTTGTTTAAGCGACGCTCAAGTAGTAGGATTAAGGGCTAATGCGTTTTACTCACTGCAGTAAGATTAGTTTTTCCTCCCTTGTGCTTCTTGTCAATCAGCTGAATCAGTTTGTTTAAGGAGGCCCATCCTCCAACCCACTTTACTTTTCCCAGCTGGGCTGAGGTCAACCACAGCATTAATGTCTTTTGTACCATGCAGTTAATGGTCATTTTATTCTGTTGGTTAAGTATATTTATGCTTATTTGACTTTGGTATGTGTTAAAACTAACCATTTTACAGAGAACTGCCTCTGGCTTTGGTGTGTGTTTTGACTTACAGTTTTAAAGCGAGCTGCCTCAAACGCAACGGCTCCCAGTTTTCTGAGAGGGGGGACTAGGCTCTTGTTCTGCCTTACTTGCCTAAAAATGGGCACTGAACCTAGACACAAACAGCATGATGAATGCCATTTGTACCATCCCCTCCTTCCCACATTTCCGCTTCATTTGACTCAAGAAATTGCATTTTTGGTACAAATCTAATTGTCATTTGTTTATGTTCGTTCATTCAATGGACTGACTTGGTGGATGTTACTTTAATTGCAACAGGGTGAGGATTAAGGTCAGGATAAATGTCACATTAAATCATAATATTTGTTGCATTGCAAGTCTAGACATCATTTTCTGTTGTACCTCAAATTGTTATCTACAGTATGTAGATTGCTAATTATATATTCACATAATACCTTATAGAGACTTGACACTGTTGACTGTCTTGTGACCCTGTATTTGATCTATGTAAATCAGCACAGCAGTGAACATGATATTACACTTAACTAGGAAGTATTTTAGGGATGTGATCATTCATAAAATTCATTAAATGATTCTATACAATGCCATGCGGTCTTGATATATATGAAATATATTTTCATAAAAGTTAGTATTTTAGTCCAACATTTTATAATAATGCACTGACCACAAGCTAATATATGCTCTCGATTTTGAGGTAAAGAAGGAGCACTGTTTTCAGAGGAGGGAGGGTCTGCCCTCATTGTGGGCTTGCTTGTTCAGTTTTGTATTATACATCATGCAATATGATCAGCATTAAACTGAGTGCTTTATTTTCTGCAGTCTGCTGAATGTATTGTTTGATGCCTTTGAGTGTTGAATTGAGAGGCTCGTATTGAACAGAACAATTTGATGTGTTGTATTGATGCACTCCTAATACATATGCAAACAAACTCATACTGATTTTCCTTGTGTTGTTAAAAAAAATACACCCCTTTTCAGTGGTTATGTGCACTCTTGCGCACTGATTTAAACATAAAGATCTTGAACAATACAGTTTGATGTGCTGTATTGGTATACTGCTAATATATGCATTCAAACTCATACTAATTTTCTTGTGTTGTTGGAAAAAATATCCCCCTTTTCAGTGGTCACTTTCTCTTATGCAGTGCAAGGCAAGAATGTGCTGATTTAAAAGTAAAGAATTTGTGTCTGCTACAAAATCGTGAATATATGCGAGAGTTTAAACCAAGAAGTGTTATTTTTATTGTCTGAGCTCATAGTAAAGTCAGTTTGGGAAGCCACTTTTACAGCAAGCACATGTTTCCTGTTGTTGAATAAGACTGGCTAAATCTGGCACCCAGTTCATTGTTAGTTACCCTCCTGTTAGTAAAGCTAACGCTGCCCTCCGTGCTTTACAGCATTCTTTAGCCTGAAATGGTAAACATTCTTCTACATGAAACACTCAGGAAAATCTGATATTCTAAACATATTAAAAATGTTTCTGGTCTAAATGTAAATGTGAAGTGTGAGATGAAGTGTCACAGTGGGATGCACTGGAGGTGTGAATCTGGGGTATCTCATCCAATTCTCTCTCATTAGCTTTGTCGTGCCCCAGCAGCATTACAGTGCATCTGGGAGAAGATCACAGCAGTTGGTGGACAGCAGTGCTGTGTCTGGAGTGGAGAAAATGCTGCTATTAGGGGTATGGTACTGTTCATTTAGGGAGGCAAAATGACTCTGTGATCTTTCTAGAGAAAGACACATACACACCCTGCACATTTTGCATTGTGGTACATACAGAGATCAGTATCTGAACAGTACAGCCCTATTCAGTTTTGTGTCCTCCACATACAAGGCTGTGCTTTACAGTTTTCAGGTTTTCTTTTTCATTTCCTAAAGGAATTCCATTCATTTAGAGCTTTACTTGTGTAAAGTGGTGGAATTATCAAATACATTTTGTAAAAGCTTGGCTGTTTATTTAGCCAAAGCTCTGTATTTCTGTCTGAGAAATTGAAATCAATGAAATAAACATGTGAAACCAGCTTGTTGAGATTGCGGTATCGATTTCTCCTGAGAGATGTTTTTAAGTTCAGCAGGTTTAAAGCATGTTTCTGTATTTGCTTGGTAAAACGCTTTAGGAATTCCCCTTTAGAAAGAAGTGCTTGATTTAAACCCCCCTCCTTTTTAGCTTTGTTTATAGCAGAAAAAAATAAAAAAAACATAAACTGAGGTCTGCTGGCCCATTCCCTTTTCAGCAGTGGGACAGCAGGAGCTTGCTGAGCTGCCTCACGCTGTCCGTCCGTGACATGAGACTACCTACGAGATTAAAAAAACACAAGCAAGGCGCTGTCAGCTCCCAGCTCCCTGTGGATAGAAAACAAACCCAGGAACAGAGTGCTTATGCTTCCGCATGCTCTCCAGGGCCTGCGTAAATGCAGGGGACCTCAGCGCTGATTTATTCCCCTGCTGCCTCTAAAGGTTGGTTTGAGGAAATCTACAGTTTATAACTGCGTCCTGGAATGTTAAAACGTTCCTTATTGTACAGGACAGATCAATTTGTCTGGTGCTGGCCAGTGGAAAAGTAAATCTTTCTTAAGTCTGGTGGCTTGTTAGGTGATCGTTCTGGCAGGTCTGGGAGCTCACTGAAACAGGGAGGTGGTGTGGTGACAGGGAAGGGAATATTTGGGTTATACCCATCATGTCCAGTTAATTAGCTCTCTTTCTATTGCCCTTGCTTTTGTTGGTAAGATGACGTAAACCCTGGCAATATGGAGCTTGTACTCTCAAAAACAACTAGATTAAGATTTGCCTGGTTGTCTTAA